TCGTCCGTCGTCGTCATCGTCGTCGTTGTCGTCAGTTGTCGTCGTCGTCGTCGTCAATGTTATCATCAGCTTTGTCAGTCTTGTCAGTCCTCGTCGTTGTCGTCGTCCTCGTCGTCGTCCTCGTCCTCGTCATCCTCGTCCTCGTCCTTGTGTCGTCGTCGTCGTCGTCGTCGTCGTCGTCGTCGACGTCGCCGTTCGAGCAGGTTTTTGCAGTGTTCGCCCAGGACCGGCTCCAGGGGCCGATGCTGATAGGATTTTCGTTCGTCGTTGTCGTCGTCCGCTTCGGATGCATGCCCTGGTGCCCCTGGGGGTCTGGTGGGTGCGAGAGCTGCTTGCCCGCCCGCCCGCGGGCGGGACTCGACGATCCACGCCCAGGCTTTTCCATCTCTGGGCCCCAGGGCTACTCGTCGCCGAGGCGGGCTTCGTCCCCGCCGGGGGTAGGGGTTCCCCCCCAGCGCGCCTGTTATCGGACGCGGGTTGGGGGCGCTGGGCACGGCTCCAGAGGTTGTGAATCCAGCAGGCGAGGGAACGAGGAAGCCAGTCTGCCAGCGGGTGCCCCGCGGGAGTCTCCAATTCCCCGATGGCCAGAGCCCACCTGAGCCCCATGACACCTTCGGGAGGTTCAGATATCGATGTGCAGCGAGCTCCTGTGGGCATCTTCTGGCAAACAATCGACACAAACATAAGCTTTCGAAAGTCCGCGCGTATCTCTTGGATCGGCCTGGGGTCCAGCGGTGACCCAGGAAAATCCTCGCGGACACCACGCACTTTGTGCTTGTGCGTTTTCTTCTTCAAGCCTGGCAGTGCAGGCCTTCGACCACAATCGAACCATGCCCCTGCGGGTCCACTCGACGCTGGGGCACCCGACACCCCGGCAGGGGTGCCATTGACTGCAGACTTCCTCCACGCAGCTGCTTCTGATGGGCCAGGTGGCACAGACTCTGCTGCTGCAGCTCCTCCCTGGGCTCTCTCGCCCGTGTGCCGAGCACCTCGGCCTACGCCAGGCTGCACAGACACAGCCGCCGCGCTGCTGGGCGACTCGGCCTCCCAGGGCCGTGCTGCATCCTGCCGTGCCGAGCTGCAGCAGACAGCGGGGTCGACCGCGCGGACGTGCGCGCGTGCACCGCGTTGCGCAGGATGGCGCGCGGGCGCCCTGTCTCCAATGCGGCGCGCCGCGCCGGCGGCCCGCGATGGCCACCGCGGAAGGTCGTTGTGCCATCGTGCGTGAGACCCCTTTCTTGTCGCCGCTCACGTGGAGCCGGCTGGGGGGGTGAGATGGAGCGTCCGTCACTGGCTCTGGCCGTCGGCGAGGGAGGGCCGGGGGAGGCGCCGCTGTGCGCGGGCCTCCTGCGCTGTCCGTCCTCCCCCGGGACCCCGTGCCCAGCTGGGCACCAGATGCCGGGTCCGCACCCTTTCCTCTCCCGACTGGTTTGAAGCTGGGCATGCCCCGCCACTGGAGGAATGCTCAAACATCTTGCCAAGCAAGAGCCTGGGGACGATTTGTCGACCATTTCTCACTGCTTTGGAGCATTCTTTCCGTCTTTCCTTCCTCCAAGATCCCGCCTGTAGGGGGACATGCCCGACCCAAGACCAGCTCTGCTGGGGCCCCTCCAGCGCAGCGCCCGCAGGCCGCTTCCGGCTCGCGCGCGCGCGCTGCGCCGGCGGCCCGCGGGAGCCACCGCGCAGGGCCGCGCTGGGGGCATCTTCTCGCCGCTCGCGCGGCTCCCCAGCCCACAGGCTTCGGAGCGCGGGTGGCTAGATGCCAGGAGGAAGAAACGCACAGACACAGTGAATCGTCTACCCCCAGGGAAATAGATGACAAATTGTGGGAAGCGGGGGGGGGAAGACAGAATCCCAGAAGATATGGGAAAATATTGGGATTCCTGTTCTTTGTGTGTTTAATTAGTTGTGTGTTTGTGGGCCCCTTCAAGATGGCAGGATCCTACAAGATCGGGCGCGTGGCTCTCGCCCTGCGGGGCCCGCGCGGCGAGGCGCGCCGCGCCGCTTTCGCCAGCGCCTGCGCCCGCCCTCGTCCCTGCCGCTCCTCCCCCTGCGGTGAAGCTTCTCTGCGGTGGCGGGGGCTCGCTGTGCCCGTGCTCGTCGTCGCTACATCATGGACGGCGTGTCCCGCGTGCACCCGTCAACCCCCCCCCCGGCGATCGATGGTGGCGCTGCGCGGCACGAGCTGCACTTCGGTCACAGCCTTTCCCGCGCGTGTGCCGGCTTCGGGTCTGGAGGAGGAGGAGGAGGAGGAGGAGGAGGAGGAGGAGGAGAGGAGGAGGAGGAGGAGGAGGAGGAGGAGGGGGGAGGAGGAGGAGGAGGAGGAGGAGGAGGAGGAGGAGGAGGAGGAGGAGGAGGAGGAGGAGGGGGAGGGGGGGGGGGGGAGGGAGGAGGAGGAGGAGGAGGAGGAGGAGGAGGAGGAGGAGGAGAGGAGGAGGAGGAGGAGGAGGAGGAGGAGGAGGAGGAGGAGGAGGAGGAGGAGGAGGAGGAGGAGGAGGAGGAGGAGGAGGAGGAGGAGGAGGAGGAGGAGGAGGAGGGAGGGAGGGAGGAGGAGGAGGAGGAGGAGGAGGAGGAGGAGGCGGAGGAGGAGGAGGAGGAGGAGGAGGAGGGGAGGGGGAGGAGGAGGAGGAGGAGGAGGAGGAGGAGGAGGAGAGGAGGAGGAGGAGGAGGAGGAGGAGGAGGAGGAGGAGGAGGAGGAGGAGGAGGAGGAGGTGGAGGAGCAGGAAGGAGGAGGAGGAGGAGGAGGAGGAGGAGGAGGAGGAGGAGGAGGAGGAGGAGGAGGAGGAGGAGGAGGAGGAGGAGGAGGAGGAGGAGGAGGAGGAGGAGGAGGAGGAGGAGGAGGAGGAGGAGGAGGAGGAGGGGGGGGGGCGGGGGAGCGTGCACCGGCTGTTTCCCTCGACCGCAGGAGCCTCCGCGGCTACCTGTGCCACAGGTACCACCCGCCGCCCCGCGCCGAGCTGCACGTCTCGCGCCTGGCCGTGCCGCGCCGGCACCGCGGCCGGGGCCACGCTGGCCTGCTGATGCGGTGGGCCCTCGGCGGAGCCGCCAGGGTGCCGCCGGAGCAGCTCGGGTGGATCACCGTGAGCTCCCTGGAGACGGCGGTCTTCACCGAAGAACGAGAAATTTCAGCAGGGGAAAAAACACACAGACACAATCAATCATCGATTTTCCAGAAATATGGGAAAATATGGAAAGTGGGGGGGGAAGACAATAACCCAGAACATATAGGAAAATATGAGGAATATTTTTATTTGTGTGTATTTATTTGTGTGTCCCAGGGCCCCTTCAAAGTTGCACGGAGATAATTTCTCGGAGGTCGGCGCGGACTTCTTGGACTGGCGCCGGGCCCCCCTGGCGGTGCCTCCAGCGCCGCCCCTGCGCCCCAGGGAGGGGGGTGCAGGGCAGACCGAAGCACTCTGCGCGGGCCAAAGAGAAGTGATGCTTCGACGGTTTTTGGCTCTTCTGCTTCAAGCGCGGAGCTCGGGTCTGGCGTTCGAGGTTCTCGGGTCGGGCGTTTGCATGAGGTTTCGGCGGCTTTCCAGCCTCGGGGCGCTTTCAGCGGCTGCGCCCCGCCGAGGGCGTGCCAGGGGTGCCCAGATCGTCGCGAAGGGCCGCCGGAGAGGCCCGAGCCACGACCCGAAAACCACCAGGGGAACTGCTCCAGGGGGGGGGATGCATCGACCCCCAATCGCCCATTCATCGCCGATGGGGGGCCCAATAGCCCACCCCTGCGCAGGAGCCTGCGGACTCGCCATCGGGCGGCTATCGCCGATGTATCGGCGAGGCATCGCCGATTCCAAGTCGGCGTTCCCCCCCGTGAGCCAGTTTTCCCCTAACGTTCTCCATGCCAAGAAGCACCCTGCTTGCCTCCAGGGTGCCCTGCTCTTCTTGGGCTTCGATGGCTTCGCTGTGGAGAGCGTGACGTTCCCACACCAACAGTCAAGTGGACGTCCTGGGGTCTCAGGGTTGGGCTTCTTAGGAAGAGTTCTTGTGGACTGGCCCCCACTGTAAGCGCGAAAAGGGTGTCCGGAGGTCGAGGAAGCGCAAGCATGGATTGAGGCGCGTGGATCAGCGACGGGTCCTGTTGCCGTGCGGCAGCCCGGCGCGCACCGTCGCCAGAGCAGGCGGCACTGCCCGCATGGTTTCGCGGGGGTTGTCCTCCGCCTCCTCCGCCTCCTCCTCCGCCTCCTCTTCCTCCGCCTCCGCCTCCGCCGCCTCCGCCTCCTACTCCTTCTTCTTCTCGTCCTCCTCCTCCTCCTCCTCCTCCTCCTCCTCCTTCTCTTGTCCCCCGCGCCCACGTGCCAGAGCCACGGATGTGTAGTCCAAGTCAGCTTGTGCTTGCTGAGGGTAAGGTGTCCTGGGGTCTTTCTTGTTGAGGCCTCACGGCCGGTGCCGCCGACCCAGAAGGACGACCACGACCACAACGACGACCACGACGACGACCATGACGATGATCACGACGACGACAACAACGGCGAGGATAGCGACAGCGTCTCACACACGCCGACTGGGTCGGCGGATTCGCCTTCGGCCTCCCGAGGCTCTCCTCGGCCTCTGGGGCCGTCGAACAGCGCGTCGGGATCGAGAGCTGGCCCCCCGGGAAAGCCCCGTGGGTCAAGGACCGAGGCGATAAGCGGCGGCGCAAGAGGATACCCTCTTTCAGACGCCCGCGTAGGATGTTCCAACCTGCTTTCGCCTGCATCACCAGCAAGGATTTCGAGCACCAAAGAAAGTGCCGAAACTGGATGGTTTTTACGTGCCGGGCCCTGGGCGGCGATACTCGTTTGACACTCCGCCAGCGTGTCCGGCAGGCACCGTTTCGGTATTCTTCTGGGAGCTCGGAATTATTTTTGGGATGTGGCCCTCAAGTACGATGGGAACACCATGCAGTGGAAAGCCATGCCAAGAAGCACCCTGCTTGCCTCCAGGGTGCCCTGGGATTCTTGGGCTTCGATGGCTTTGCTGTGGAGAGCGTGACGTTCCCACACCAACAATCAAGTGGACGTCCTGGGGTCTCAGGGTTGGGTTTCTTGTGGCCGAGCTCCTGCTGTGAACGCCCGCGGGGATTTTCCTTTGGTTGGCGCCACAGAACTCCTCCCTACACACCTCCAGGAGTCGGCGCCCCTCCCCTCCGGCACCGCCCCTCCCTGACGCGCTGCGCCGCGCTGGTGGAAGGGACCAAAGTAGCGTTAAGTCGGGCACGTCCCTCTAGAGGAGGAGTATTCAAGAATAGTAAAGAATAGTCTTGGGGTCGATTTTTTGATTGTTTTTGTGAGTTTTTCCGTATTTCTGACTATTTTCAATTTTTCTTCCAGAATCCGCCTGTTGGAGGACATACCCAACGTAAGAGTAGCGAGGGCCTCCGACAGTCTCAGCACAGCTTTTGTGGTGCCTCGTACAGGGGAGGCCCATGCCAAGAAACACCCCTGCTTGCCTCCAGGGTGCCCTGGGTCTCTTGGGTTTCGATCGTCTTGTTGTGGGAAGCGTGACGTTCCCGGACCAGAAGTCAGTGGACGTCCTGGGGTTCCAGGGTTAGGTTTCTTGTGGACGGTCTCCTGTGGTCGAGCTCCCACAGAGTGCGAAGCAGCGCGGCTTCTCCTCCACCCGACGACGACGACGACGACGAGAGCTGCACTGCTTTTGGCAGCCCGCCGCAGGTCCCCTTCTACGCGCGCCTGGGCTTCGTCCCCGAGCCGGGGCCCAAGGTCCACCGCCAGAACACCTCGGGGACAGCGCTGGGGATAGGCATACACCCTGCGAGATGCTTAAGAAATCATGGGTTAAGAAATTCATAGTCTCAGAACTTGAATAAAAACCCAACCTTTCTGTTAAAATCTTAAGATTTACATTGAAACGTTAAGAATAATCGAGACTCTGGCCGAAAACTTAGGTTTTCTTAAGCATCGCCTAAGGTGTAGGGTGTTGCGCATCGACCCCCAATCGCCCATTCACTGCCGAGAGGGGCCCAACAGCCCACCACTGCCCGGGTTCGTCCGGAGTCGCCATCGGGCGCCTGTCGCCGGTCCATCGGCGAGGTGTCGCCGATTCCAGGTCGGCGTTCTCTCTCCCCTACGTTGTGAGCGCCCGCGGGTCTGGGACGGTCGCCCATCTCATGTCGGGTTACCGCCGAGAGACTCGCAGACAGTCGAGGAGGTCAACGCATCTTTGCGATGAGGCGCCGCCCAAGCAGCTCCTGACCTCGCGGCAGGCCGCTTGTCGAAGCAAACGCGCCGCCGAAATGGATGTAGGCGTCCACCTCCAATCTGCCTCGCCCGGACTGCCAGGGCCCTCTCGTGTGCGGCAAAGTTGCAGACCCTCCCTGGTCGGTGGCCACATGTGAACCTTGCCCCCACCCCCCACGATCTCTGAAGGGGTAGGGGGTGGGTGTTCACTTCGTTCGGAAGCTCCGGGGCGGGGCGGAGTGAACCCCCTCCCCCCCTTAGAGAAATCGAAGGGGGTGGGGGTAGGGTTCGCATGTGAGCGACGCGAAAAACACGGGTTCGTCTGCGCAGACATTCGTGCGTAAGTTACCCGCGTGCGGCCGCGCGCAAGCGCCCTCGCTCCCAGCGTGGCGTGCCGCGCTGGCGGCCCGCGTAAGCCAACGCGTGAGGTCGCTGTGCCATCTCGCGTAAGACACGTTTGTGATCGTCGCCCATGTCGCCACCGACCTGGTATTTGCAGCCCCTATGCCAGTCCCGCCTCTCGCTGCCCTTCAACTCTAGGCCTCGCATATGGGGTCCGAGTAGATGGGGTCGGAGGAGCATCGTCGATGTATCGGCGATGCGGCTCCATGCGGAGCTTGTTTTTCTCGACGCCGACGTGGCCGATCCATCGCCGACGTGGTCGATGCATCGCCGATTCATCGTCGACACATCGACGATGCATTGCCGATGCGGCGCGATCCTCCGACCCCATCTACTCGGACCCCATCTAGGAGGCCTTTAGACAGGCAGCCCCTATGCTAGTCCCGCCTCTCGTTGCCCCTCGAGCTTCCCACACCCACCGCCTCGGGGCCGCTCCGCCGCCGCCGAAGGCGGCAGAGCATCCGCGACCAGCGCTCCCTGGGCATCCCATCCGTGGCCAGTGGACGCCCTCCCCCCCCCCTGGCGTCGACGAGGAAAAACGGAATACACATGAACTTTTGGCGCTCCGCGCGGATTTCTTGGATCCGCGCTGGCCCCCCCCCCCCCGCGGCGCCTCGGGAGCCGCCCCTGGCGCGCTCCGCGCGCCAGGGAGGCGGGCTCAGCGCGGATCCAAGAAACCCGCGCGGAGCGCCAAAAGCTCATGTTCGCGCTGTGTTTTCTTCTTCCGTGGCGGTGCCGCGAGTGTTGCCGGCGTGGGCCTCGAGCAGTGAGCGATCGCGCTGTGGAGGCGTGGGCCGTGTCTCGGAGGAGGACAGGGGTACCCCTGCCGCTGCCCCTGTCTCGTCTTCGCCCTTCTCCTGGGGGGGCCTTCGCCGCCACCGCTGGGTTCGTCCCGCGATCCCAGCTAGTCAGAACGCACCCTGGGAGAGGTCCGGGAAGTAGCGGTGTCGGTAAAATTCTGTTTCCTCAGAAGGGGAAGTGAGAAGGGGCGGGCCCTGTCAGAAGGCTCGGAAGTCCCCCAGTCTTCCGAGAAGTTTCTTGAGTCTTGCCCGGGGACGCAGAAAACCTTTCAGACGGCCAGAGGTCTTCTGAGAGGCTCCGCCGCTTTCTGAGAAGGCCTTCTCCGTCTCACCTTCCCCCCCCCCCTCGCTCGCTTGCCGCCGATAAACAGTGAGTTGTCGCACCGTGAAGGTGTGAGCTGTGTCGTGCAGTGTACGTGGTGCACTCCAATGTGGTGCGAGCTGAGACGTGTGGTGTGCGCTGTGTGGTGTAAGCAATGTGGTGCGTGTGGTACGAACAATCAGGTGTACAGTCGTGCTGCCGAAATAAGGAACGGTATGTGAGGAACGACGCCCTTTTTCGGTCCTCAAGGCGCCGGCGTGCACGAAGAGGGTCAGAGGAACAGCCACACAGTGGCCTGAGGATACTCGAGCCCCTCTTGCACCCAAGCTGTTCCTTACAGTGGAGGCCCCTGCCAAGCAACGCCCCGCTTGCCTCCAGGGTGCCCTTGGTTTCTCGGGTCTCGCTGGCTCTGCCATGGACAGCGTGGCGTTCCCCACGCCGACGGAAAATCAAAGGGCGTCCCGGGGTCTCGGGGCCGGTTCTCTTGTGGAAGGTCTCCTTGTGGTCGGGCCCCCTTACTGTGCTTCAGCGTCTTGGGTGTGCAAGCTGTACGGCGCCGTGCTCCGTGGCGCCCACGAGGCGAGCCCTCGCCACGCACCGCCCCCCGCGCGCGGGGGGCGCTCGCGGGGCGACCGCGGCCGACCACGAGGGTGGGACCTCGCCACGCCCGTGCACCCGTGTGGGCACCGCTCGGGCGTGTGCCCTTCTGCGCGGCCAGGGGCCCCTCGAGGAGCACTCGGGGCCCTCCTGCGCCGCAGCAGCGCACGCACGGAGCGGGCGCACGCGCGGGGGGCGGGGACGGCCGAGTGACGGCGAGCTCCGCACGCGGCCGAGGCGAGAGCACCCCCTGCAGGAGTGCGGGGCGCTGCTCGGGGGCGGAGCTCCCGGAGGTCCTCGCGGGCCTCCGGGAGCTTTGTTTTTTGCGCTCGTGCCGTCCTCGCGGTGCCCTCCTGGCCGAGGTCGCGGCGGAGGGCAGCGACCCGCAGACCTGGATGCGCCTGCCCAGCACCTCCGTGATCCCGAGGTCAGAGGGCACCAACTGCGCTCAGGAGGGAAAGAAGCACACAGACACCATCAATCGTCGACTCCCAGGAAAATATGGGAAAATATGGGAAGTGGGGGGGAAGACAGGAACCAAGAACATCTGGGAAAAGATGGGTGATAGTTTTACTTGTGTGTATTTATTTGTGTGTCCTTGGGCCCCTTCATACACGCCTGCACCGATCCTGGCTGGGCCGATGCCGGGCCCAGGATCGGTGTGCCTACCCTCCTTAGGTAGCACATCAGGGGAAGCCGTGTGTGTAGCCTCGTGACTCTTTCTTTGGCGACGATCAGCGTCGATAAGCGTTCGGGAGCCGATGAGATAGCACCGCTTTGGCGCCGTTCAGCGCTAAGTAGCGTCGATCTAGCGTCGATCGGCGTCGACTTAGCGTCGGTGAGGGTCGATTCGCAAGAGCCGACGAGACGGTATGGGAGGCCCCCAGAGGTTGCCTCGGAACCCCCCCTGCCCAGACCAGGACGGCGTCTTCACCGAGCCTGGGTCCGGGACGGGCCTGGCCAGGACCTGTCCCTGAGATCTCACGCTGCGGCCCATTTTCGCAGCATCGCGTGGCAACTCACGGAGCTCCAGGCCTTCTGTCCTTCTGCGTCGCTCCTCGAGCGGGATCGAGCGGGGGGTCGGCCACGCGCAGAAGAGGGCAGGGGGAGGAGGGGAAGGCTTCTAAGAAGCACCCCTGTTGCTCAGGAAGGCGCGGCCCTCGTCTGCAGATGTGAGGCCCGCGCCCTCTGAGGAGCAGGGGTGCTTCTCAGAAGCCTTCCACCCTCCCCCATGCCCCACTCTGCGCGCCGCCAGGGGCCCCCCCGGGCTCGAGGACGAGCGTCAGCGCCTGGCGGGTGGAAACTCTTGGCGCCGGCGGCTAGACAGGGGTGTGGCTGCGCCAGCGATCAAGGCACAGAACGGGGGCACCGTTGGAGCGAATTGCGCCACCATGCGGGAGGGAGGCGGAGGCGGAGGAGGAGGAGGAGGAGGAGGAGGAGGAGGAGGGGGAGGAGGAGGAGGAGGGGAGGAGGGGGGGAGGAGGAGGGAGGAGGAGGAGGAGGAGGAGGAGGAGGAGGAGGAGGAGGAGGAGGCGCGCGGCCGAGGCCCGGTGCGAGGACACGGCAGCGCCCAGCTCTCTCGGGGGTTGTTGCCCTCCCCTGCGAGGGCGCCTGCCCCCGCCGCCGCCGCCGCGGCCGCCCCGGGCCCCCCGCCGCCGGAGGGGCAGCGCGTCGCTTCCGCGGCGGGCGCGGAGGCC